ATTTATCTACTTGCCTGTGTATAAACGCAAACACGCGCGTATACAGTTTGCTTATATATATATATATATATATATATATATATATATATATATATATATATATATATATATCGTCGTCGTCGGCATCCGTCCGTCTCAAGAGACGATAGAGTATCGTGGTGCGCTACGAGCCTGGGAAGGATATATGGAGAACTAGGGCTGCCCGGGCGTCTAGTTCCCCCACTCGGCCTTGCTAGCAGAGTCTAAAGGAGAGGATAAACCAATACAGTTTGGTACCAACGCGGCTGCAGGAGTTGCCGGAAGGTAGCAGAAAGTGCCGTCCATCCGCCTTAGGGACTCCACTCTGGGTTTGAATTCAGAGTTGTGCTTCTCCGAGACCAGTTGCCATCGAAGGCTATGGAACCCAGACAGAGAGGTTTAGGTAAGTAAAATAACCAGATATAAACAACCTTACCTAATCTATCTCTTTCTCTCCCCCCTCTCTCTCTCTCTATATATATATATATATATATATATATATATATAGAGAGAGAGAGAGAGAGAGAGAGAGAGAGAGAGGAGATAAGGTTGCTTATATCTGGTCATTTTTCTCACCTAAACCTCTCTCTCTCTATATATATATATATATATATTACTGTAAATCATGTTTACTTTGTCTTAATAAACTAGGCATAGAGCAATGATGGTTAACATTTCGATACATGTCTGCCTTTCTGGTCCTTCCTTTGTTTACATTAGCCTTCTTGGTTCTTGATTCCTTCTTGATTTTTGTTGTCAGTATTTTTTTTCTATTTGAACTTTCTTTTTCGTCACCTGGCAGGTTTTTTTTCTGCTGATTGTATCCACACTTTTGATTTTTGTTGTATACATATATATATATATATATATATATATATATATATATATGTAAACCTAAAGGGCCAGGCAAACCTACCTAGGTTTCACCTAAACGGATCGTCAGGATAAAACTGGCCCAAAAATTAAAAAATGGAACAGAATATATAGCAAATGCCAGCAGGAGTGCGTGGTTTACCAAATAAAAATATATATGAATAAACCGAACAATACCGATAAAAACCCTAAGGTTTACATAGGATCTACCCAGAATAATTTCAAAACACGATACTATAACCACCTTAGAAGTTTCAACAGCGAAACTTACAAACACAGTAGCACCTTATCCTCTTAAGTATGGAAGGTCAAACAAGAGGATAATAAAGATCCCATTTTGAAATGGGAAATATTAAAAAAATGTCACAGGTATAAAGCAGGTGATAAATTTTGTTCCCTATGCATGAAGGAAAAGTTAGCTATTGCTAGCTATAAAGAACCCAATAATTTATTAAATTTAAAATCGGAAATTTTTAGTAGGTGTAGACATAGGAAACGCTGTTTATTAGAATAGGTTTTTTTTTCTTCTCTTTTCTTTTCGTTGTTGAATTAAGAGCGTAACCCCTAACCCCATGTTGTTGAGTTTTCACTGGTTTTACTTGTTTGGTTTGGTTTTAGATTTGTTTTGTTTTTTGTTTGTTTTTTGGCTTTTTTTTGTTTTTTTGTTTTTTTGTTTTGTGACGTGGTCATGGTTGTTTTGGGTTTAAGCTACATATTCTGTTCCATTTTTTACCTTTTTGGACAGATTTACCCTGACGATCCGTTTAGATGAAACCTAGGTAGGTTTACCTGGCTCTTTAGATTTATATGTGGTTTTGCTCTACTTCGTGTATTGAGCACTTTACGTAGTTATTTTTACTCGTTTTGGAGGGTCTTTCTTCTTCTTTGGACTCCGTCTGAACTCTGGACGATTGTTTTCGCCTTTTCATGTTCTTAGTTCTTGCTTTTTTTGTTCCTCATTTTTCCTTGAGTACTGGTTTGTTCTACTACAACTACAAGCCGAAATATCCAAGGTTTTTCCAAGCCACTTATATATATATATATATATATATATATATATATATATATATATATATATATATATATATATATATATCGGTTGTAACAGCAAAATTGTCCAAATCGTGTAACAGCATAATTGTCCAAATCGTGTAACAGCATAATTGTCCATCCCATGAAATGTTTAATATCTAAAAAAAAACACTAAACTAACTGAGATTCATTTTTCCAGGTTTTCAGATAAGACGTTCAGCCATATTGACACCATTTGTCGTAAGAATCATTGAAAACCGTTTGAGTTATTCAGCTCGAAAGAGAACAGAGGTTCAAATCGTTTTTTGTCAGCCCCTCTGTCTTCCCAAATGAGCAATGGTAAGAGCAAATAATAATTCAGGCCTTCAGTAATGGTACCACCATTCATACACTGGCTTCCATCTTCAAAGTCCATTCAAAAACTATCAGGAGAACGGTGAATAAGTTTTAAAAAGAGGGGACAGTAGAGAGGAAACAACAGGAAGAAGGGTCATCATTTCAACTTAGAGCTAAAGAGTTCAATTAGAAAAGATCCAATTCAATCCATAAGATGTTTGGAACGTAAGAGAGTGACAACTGAAAGAGCTGTGAAAAAAGACTTGAAATTGAAATCGTACGTGAAACATCTGAGGCACCATGTTACTCCAGGACAGAAAGATAGGCAGTTAGAGTGGACAAAGATCATCTTGAATAAGTTTGAAAATAATTCTGGAATAATATATCTATATATATATTTGAACTTTATTTCAATCCTTCATGGGCTTCCGATCTTTAGCTACAATTAATTAATGATAAACATGTCATTTTCGTTTATGATCGATTTCATCACAATTCTTCTGTTAAGCTTGAAGAGTGATTATACATTCTTATTACCAAATCAATGAATCCATTGAAACAAATTAAAAATCTAACCCCCCCCCCAAAAAAAAAAAATTAACAAAAAATTAAAGAAAGTGCATCAACTTCATTAGATAAATAATCTCGATAACAACACAGCACAGAGTTGGACTACAATCCAAAAGAGCCAAAGAGTCACAAATACCACTGTAACGATATGTTTCACGCGATGAAACGATCCTCAGACGATTTACATGTGTGTGTGTGTGTGTATGTGTGTATTGATATAATAGAAAAGAACTGTTAGATTGATGGTCCTAAGTTCTTTATTATTTTTGTTCTTATTTTTAAAAAAACAGTGCTCGATACAGAAGTAAAGCCTAAATTATAACCCCCAAAACCCAAAACCAACCTTAAACAATTCCAAAAACTTGCTATATAACAAGCACAACTATTTTCATCAAAGCAGAGACCTCTTGATAATGAAAAACTAACCCCAGATTAAACCTCCATTTCAAGACTATAAGAGTAAAACATTTTGTTGCTTAGTTATTCCAAACATCGCTTGAGGATGAAACACTCAGGTTTAATATTGAAATTAAACTTGAATACGGATGACCAGTTTCAAAACATAGTAATTTCTGTGTCACGATGGAATCATATTTTTAAAATAATTATAATATATATATATATATATATATATATATATATATATATATATATATATATATATATATATATATATATATATATATATATATATATTTTTGAGAGTTACTTTTGGTGGATACCCGTGTCTGAAACAGACGCCCTGTTTTCTCGAGTGCGCAGGTCGACATACGTAATATTGGGTGTTTTAAATAAAATAAAATAAAAATAATGTCGTCTAATTAACTAGTAAAAATTTCGGATTAAAAATGAATTAATTAAAAAAAGTTTCTTGCTCAACATCTGACTACATGACCAAACTCTGGAAATTTTTTTTTTCTTGATAGGGCCCTTGTGACTTTTGCATATGTTTCTGCATGCATCATTGCTTCTTTTTAATATATATATATATATATATATATATATATATATATATATATAGAGAGAGAGAGAGAGAGAGATTATTAGTGTGTGTGTATAACACACACATATATATATATATATATTTACTAATTTGAAAATATGGTTCCATCGCTTACATAGGAATTTCCATGTTTCAAAAACAGAAGCTAAAAACTTAAAATTTAATTATAGAATTAAATTTCTAGTACTGTTTCATTTTCAAGCGAATTTTGGAATAGCGATTTTCCAAGTGTAGCTTAGATGTGGCATAAGGCCGAAAGTAGGGGGCACCTAGTGAGGATCGAACTCACTTGTTAGTCGTAACTAGCGAGACAAGCTTGCTAACCATTACACCACAAGGTGCCCAAATGATTTCATAAGCGTAACTTAGATGTGGCACAAGGCCGAAAGTAAGGGGAACTCAGTGAGGATCGAACTCACTACTAAGTTGTAATTGTTCTAGCGAGACAAGCTTGTTAACCATTACACCACCTCAAGGTGCCCAAAGATTTTCTAAGCGCAGCTTAGATGTGGAACAAGACCGGAAGTACGGGGCACC